TTTTTTGTGTGTATTTTAAGCTTCTTCAAATTCTTACCAGTCCCGTGGAGAAAACAAACGAACATTCAAGGGTACTCAAAATAATTTGAAATTCGGTAGGAGTATCTTGAAGACGTGCAACAAAGTTCGAGACTATCAAATTTCATGTTTAGAAGGTCAAATGAATGATGTTGTTTCAGGTAGTCAGTTCATAGGCTTATGGAGATATATGTTTGGTTAAAGTTAGTAAGCTTTAATTCTTTACTATGTTTTTAACCACATAATAACAGATGTTTTACAATGTGTGAATGGGAATCCTGAGTAGCGGTGGCCCCGCAGATCCCACCTAATCAATAAGTCTCCCCATAGGTAGCCACTGATCAGGCCCGTATGTAAGGTCAATTTCCGTCCCAAAGCTTACATATTTTCCGTCATGCCCATGCTTCTAGCGTGGACTGTAGAGCTGACTAGAAAGAGAGCCCCCTCATCAACTATCGTTTAGACCAAGCAACCCACAATGATCCTGAAAGACTAAACAACCTCCAAATAAGCCGATAAACAAAAGGTCTAGAAACCTCTTTCAGCTTCCTCAAGCCTAACCCACCCTCTGATTTTGGACGACAAATATCATCCCATGCAACCTTTGAACATGAGGTGTTGTTTGGATTACCCGTCCATAAAAAACACTACAAATGCTATCAATTTCACCAAAGCACCAAGAAATATGTTGGAGACGCCATGCATAAGATAAGTATTTTTTCGTCCATGAAAGAAGACGAGAACGAACCTTATCAATGAGGGGGCTGTAGTCGTGCACTGTCATGGACTTAGTGGTTAATGGCAGCCCTAGGTAACGAATAAGGAGAATCTCTACTTGTAGACCAAGCTCAAAGATAGCCGCTAAGGTTGCTTAATGATCTCGACCTCCAACAAAATTCGTCGACTTGCTAGCATTAATACGTAACTCAAATATTTTGGAAAAATCCTCAAAGACCTGTAATATAGTGCGGAAAGAGCTAGAAAGCTGTCCGTGAATACCAAAATATCATCCGCAAACTTAGATGAGAGAAATAAATCGGTCGCATCACGGGTGCCGTCCAATGAACCCATTAGAACTGTTATGTTAATTAACTGAGAGAGAACATTCTGCACCATAGCAAACAAGTATGGTGTGAGAGAGTATTCTTGACAAACTCCTTTTGAGCTCCCGAAGAACCCCTCTAGATCTCCATTTACGACCACTTAAATATAAGCTGTAGAAACACAAGATAAAATTCAGTGAGTAAACAAAGTGGGAAAACCCAAAGCTCTGAAAATTGTCTCTATTAAAGACCACTGAACCGTGTCGAATGCCTTTGAAATATCAAATTTAATGGCACACAGACGGGAAATGGTATCCTTATGGTAATCCTTGACGATCTCAGTTGCCAATAACACATTCTCCAATAGCATACGACCTTTAAGAAAAGCACTCTGATTTGGCTCAATAAAATCCGGCAAAAGTACTACAGACGATTTGCCCAGATTTTAGAGATGACTTTATACAGCACATTACAGCAAGATATAAGTCGGTAGTCTCGCCAGGTGGCCGAAGTAGAATCCAGGTCCTTTGGAACGAGAGCGAGCAAAGTAGCAGTAACAGCTTTCGGCATGAGGCCATACGCAAAGAAAGATTGCACCGCGACAATGACACCTGACCCTATAACACTCCAGAGAGCAATATATAACTTCTTAGTAAATCCATCGGGCCCAGAAGTCTTGCATAAAGGGGGGGGGAGAAAAGAGCTTGGCAGATCTCCTGTTCGAGAACATGAGACGTGAGCATGTTACAGGTTTCCGTTGAGCAGCGGTAGTCAAGAAGATCGAAGATAACAACATGAGGAACATGTATGAAATATGCATCCTCTTGCTGAAGCAAGGTCAAAATAAGGTGGGCTACCTCTGCCTTTATATCCGCTGGTGTAGTTAAAACCTCACTAGTGGCTGTGGTAAGAGACCAAATGCCATTGCGAGAAGCATTGTCATAAGATACATGGTGAAAGAAACGCATGATTTTTGCTGAAAATATTGCTCTTCCAAAACTGCTAATTTTTGAAAAGCATATGAAGGTGCAGATAAATCCCGAAAATTTGCAGGGGTGGGGTCGGTAAAAGCTGCAGTTTGAATGAAACAATGGTTTTAAATCTGTCAGTAAATAATTTGTCAAAATGGTAAATAACTACCAATGGTTTTAGATCTATCAGTAATTTATCAACGGATAAAAACATTTTTGTCAAAATTTGATGAGTTTTATGTCGGTAATTATCGACCAATTTAAAAACGTTGGTATTTCCGTCAGTTGTTTTCTGGTAGTGTGAATAAAACTAAACATGAGTAAAATTTATCACAAAACACCCTACAAAAAAAGGTGTACATAATGTCAACTACTTAATTAATAACTGTATACGATAAAACAAAATATATAATGTTTGTTCCTTAATTCGAATAATCTTCCTTAAAATATTTCTTCTGAGGTAAACTGCTCTATTCATAGCTCATAATGTATTTTTTTCACTTCCGTATCCTTTGATGTGGTTAAATCACCTCGAAAATTTGATATTCCCTTTCTCCACCACCTCGTGAGACACATATTCATTTTCTTTAGTAATGGGCCTTTGAAATGGAATTCGAACCCATAAGGCCATCTTTTTTTTTTTTTTGGTCAAACATTTGTATTTCACTTAAAACCTTAAAAGAGGGAAGGTCATACAAAGGTGAAATGGAAATGGAAAGGAAGCAATACAATGAAAGTAAAGATAAGGGTTAGAAGATTTATCCCAAGGAGAGCTCCAAAAGTTTGAAAAGCTTGCAACCAAAAGAACAACTCTAATCACCAAGATGGACTCCACATGAAGACTAACTTCAGGATATCCAAGACCAACTCGTGGTCGCTAATAGCTTGTACGTCTAGCGCATCGGAGCTTTCAATAAGCACTCCACAAGGGAGGTAAAAGGCGTTCTGGGAGAGGTTCGCTTAAAAGCGTGAAGTAAAAGCTCGGATTCTTCCTTGAAATTTTCTTGATTTACTTCATAAACCCGGAAGGTTAATACTCGAATGAATTCTGAAACCAGCGGAGAAAACATAAGGATTAGGAGAAGCTTCGGTAACCCCTTCTCTTTGGATATGAGGGTCATAATGCCGTTCTTCATCCAACTTTTAAAAGTTTGAAACTTATCTTTAAAACTGTTGAAATTCAGATTGTTGAGCTTGACAATCAGAGGAAACGGGTGTAGAAAGTTGACGAAGCTTCGGTAATCACCGCTCCGTAGAGACGGGATCATAATGTCGTTCTTCTTACAACTATTGGAAGATTGGCAAAGAGTGGGGAAAGGAGCTTTAGATAAAGTCCGATAACAACAAATTATCTTACCTCTAGAAAGGTAATCATCAGCCCAGCTTAGAGGGACTATTACTCTGCTGGCGTGGAGTCTTCGACCAGCCAAAACTGGGATAAAAGGTACCAAAAGAGTTGGGCTTAAAGGAATTTTCACAACAACAGATCTGGGCAATCAGACTCTAGGCGAGAGTGGAGCTAAACAAACATGCGTCGAGATTAGACTTGCATCGAAACCAACATAGACTTCTCTATCAACCAGGAATCGTGAAAGATTATGGTGTGTCCAAGTTAAATCCATCATTACCATCCTAGGAAAACATCTTCTACAATCCTTAAAGAACGATACAAACTTCATTAAACGTGGACTTGCCAATTTAAAATAAGATACATACTTGGGCCTTAGAAGAATTTGGGCAATAATTTTCATGGGCTTTGATAGATTTGATAATGGGCTGAAAAGATAGTAGAGTTTTCTTGGACTCGGCCCAAAATAGAGCAACATTAGGTCAAGGGTTTTGATGCCTCCCTTCATCCCTGACGGCAGCGGCAAACCAGCGGCGAGAAGCTCAGGTACAACTGCTATATAAAACAGGTCTGTCAAGGATGGGTACCGATCTGTTTGGGTTGACTCTTCCGTCGTCGTGTGCTTCATCGGTTCCGGCGTCAAAGCAGAGCTCCGGTCCAACCGCAGCCAAGCAGAACACTTGGTGGGGGGATCAAAATCCCATTGAGAGGAGCCGTAAGATGCTGAACTTGACTTTAAGAGGATCCAATGAGAGGTTTACGGGTAACAACAGAGCTAATACCAACCATGCCAACAGTGAACAAGGTCACATAAGTGTTGGACTTAAAACTTTTGGATGTAAGGGACAAAGTGGAAAGAGCAAACAAGATGAAGGATGAAGATAAAAGGAACCAATCAAGAGAAACGATATAGAGGGAAAGGTGAGAAGAAGATAGATCCCTGCACCGGCGAGCAAGAACTCTACCGGTGCCGGAGAGGAGTTCTGTTGAGGTGACTTCGATAATGGTGCTTGGGAGCGTTTTTGGTCTTTTTTTTTACTACACCCCTTTACCCATAAGGTAAACTGAGGTAAACTGCTCTATTCATAGCTCATTAATGTATTTTTTTCACTTCCCTATCCTTTGATGTGGTTAAATCACCTCGAAAATTTGATATTCCCTCTCTCCACCACCTCTTGAGACACATATTCATTTTCTTTAGTAATGGGCCTTTGAAATGGAATTCGAACCCATAAGGCCATCTTTAAAGGCATTTTTCAAGGGTCTTAGGACAATATTAAAATGCCAAAAATTCGAAATAGTACAATTGTAAGGTCCATCTGGTTCTTGGGTAAGAAGTTTTGAGAGAGGTGTCTTATGTCACGTGGCGTGTGCTGATAGGATAAAAAGGTTTTTTTTTTTGGAAATTATTTTTTTCTTTTTTTTTAAGGATATTATTTTTCGTAAAAAAAACATTATTCTTTTTATGTTTTTCATTTTTATTTTCATTGTTTTGGTGATTTGAATAAAATGTTCGTGTGTTTTAATTAATATGCTTGTATTTTATTATGTTTCTCATTTTAATTAATATGTTTGTATCTTTTTATGTTTCTTATTTTTTTCTTCTTTGTTTTATATTTGTTATTAATAATTTTGAATTATTTTTCTTTTTCTTTTTATTTTCAAATCTGTTTTATATTTATTTGTATAAGTTTTCAATTTATTAATTGTTAATATAATTTAAAAAATTTAAAATATATTTGACATTATTATATTATTTAAATTTTAAGATCCTAGAGTTTCAACCAATAATTGACTCTAAATTTGTGGTTCTTAACTTCACCTCATACATTATTAATATTCTTAAAAATCACTAAGATACAACTTCCCACTTATACTTTTAAAGATGCTCTAAGAGCATCCTTAAGGGCACGCACATCGGCGCATTTATAACAAGTCCTACTGCTTTTTTCCAAAAATAAATAAATAAAAAAAGCAAAAAGAGGGACGTCAACTAAAACGGGACCGTCCCGTTTTTCTTCCTTCACTAATCGCGGGCTCCACTGACACGTGGCGGTCCGCGATTGGTTATCTTTGGTTTTTTTTTTTTAAATCTAAAAATTAAAAAAAAAAAAGGAAAAGTTTTGTTTGGGGGATGAAATTTACCGGTGCACATGGTCTAATGGCATAACCAAGAAGATGCAACTTAGTGTATTTTTAATATATTAATAATGTAATAGTGTATTTTAAGAACCAAACAAAATTAGCTAGTTATTGGTTGAATCCTTAGTTTCTTACATTTATAATAATAAAATAATGTAAAACTTACTAATAATTTTATTAATTAATTTTAAAATTTAAAAAATGAAAAATTATATAAACTTATAAATTAGAACAATTAAGATAGAAACATATAAATATAAAAAAAACATAAACAAACTTTATAAACCTTTTTAAACAAAACACAAACAAACTTTATAAAACAAAATATAAACAAATAATAACAAATTAAAAATAATAAAGATAAAAATTAGAAACATATAAGATAGAAACATATAAATTAAAAACATAAACTTAAAAAGATACAAACATTAAAATGAAAGCACAAAACATTTTATTAAATGAATACCATATATTCTCAATCAAATCCTCTTTCAACTGATGATATGTTTGTTTATCACGGAGTCTTCTTCGACGATCACCTATGGGTCTAAACACAGAATCATCAAAATTTTATAAGCTACTTAGAATAGTTCGACAAAATTTTAAAAGCTACACAGAATCATCAATCGTCAAAATCGCCTTCTAGGGTTCGAGAGAGACAGAGAGTCGATTTGGGGATTTTAGTTTTTTTCGACAAAAGAAAAACCTTTTCTTTACCCAAAAATGGATCGAATCACAGTCGGGGACGTGGCATAAGACTCGGATACAAACGAGTCTTGCCCAGCATACAGATCTGTCTTACAAGTTCATTGTTTGGATTTCAATCCATTAAATTATTGCCCGAAGGCCCGATCGGTGGCCCGTTAAAGTTGCTCTAAGGGAGGAGATTTTGGGCCCAACATATTTGGTAGCATATATGGTAAATATTCTAGACACATGATAGAAATAATGTATGATCGCAACATATTTAAGAGGTCCGTAACATATATTAATCGTTCAAATTTTTTTTTAAAACTTTCTATTTATATTTTATATTTCAAAATTGTTTCTCTTCAGTTAAATAAATATAACAAATTAGTAAATGTAATAATATGTTTTCTACATATTTTCCTAAATTATATGCAGAGCTATTTGATACTAAATTACTAAAGGTATTTGAAACTTTTTTAAAAAAATAATAACTTTACATGTTAAAAAAAAAAAATTTGGTCAACAATATAGAAAATAACATATGGAATCTAAATAAGTTATAAAACCTTTGATCAAAGTTCTAGTCTATATTTAATTATATTACAGAAAGTTCATTATTAATATTCATTATTTTCAAAATATGGAATATCATTAAATTTACATATTTACAATTATATCATTATATATGTATGTATATATATATATATATATGTTTATGTATATAAATATAGAAAAGACCAATACAAACAGAATAAATATATCATATAGAAGAAAGGTAAATCAAATTATTAATATGTCAAATACCATAAGTTAAAGATTTCTGTCGAAAGACATCATATGTTTTTATGTTCCAAATTTTGTAATGTGAAATAAAATTTTGAATCTAACTTTCTTAAGGGATTGTTTTTTTTTTTTAAATGTGAAACTTGAAGGCAATTCTTAAGAGATTTTGTTTTCTGTTTTTTTTTTCAGAAACATAAATAATGGCAACCAAGAAATTTTCATCTCTTATATTACCTTTATTGATGGTTCTTACTCTTGTTCTATTGCCCATCATATCAGGTAACAAAATTATTTATTCAATGCCGATTTTTCTTAATTTTTATGATTGGAGTATCTCGGATAGTTTCGTCAAAGTTAGTAGACTCAATCCACCGGGAAAAAAAATCTTTTGAACTCAAGATAATTGTATTAGTGTTTGTCATCAATACTAAATTTTAAAATTAAAATATTTATGTACTTAGATTATTGCAATTTTTTTGTTTATAAACATATATAACAGGAAAACGTAGGCCATGTCAGGATTGGCGATATGGATGCAGCAGCAGAGTTGCATGTAATGCAAAATGCTTATCTCTGGGTTACAAAGGAGGAGATTGTGTAATGTTTGCATTTCCTGTGTGTTGTTGCAAAATCAATCAACAATTGCAAGATGATTCGCCTACTTCTAGTCCTAACATGACAGATTGATATTTAATTAGTTGTACTGAAAAAAATGAATAAAGCTATATATTTAAACATTACATTCTCATATTATGGCAATTATTAGCTTATTATATTTACTCTCTCTATTTTATGGCTAACACTTTCGGAATCACTCAAGTTTTGAAATTGGGTTCAATTTTCATACATGTCTAATATCTGCATTATCGTATCGAGGCAAGGGAGAGTTTTTTACTATATTGATGATTACACCAAGGACTATAATTTATTAATTATATAGTCCACAAGATATTAATTCTTTGAATAATCCACCATAACGTAGTTTTGTGTATAATTCTTCAATAATGATGTAAGACAGAATTTACAGCAGTCACAAAAAGTTGTTTCATATCAATTTAAGTAAAAAAAAAAAAATAGAAGTACCTTTGATACAAAATTAAAGATAATCTATGTATTTTGAAACGTAACATATTCATTATTCACAATTGTTAAAAAAGTGTGGTAATAAAAAGGAATAGAAGATAACCACTTACAATAATTATAACATAATACATGACCACATATCTCAACTATCGAAATGTATAACTAACTACATTTTAACTCGCTGTACAATGCGGTTCAAAATATTTCTTTTTAAATTCAGATTTTTTGGAATTTAAATAATTTTGGGGGAATTTCAAAAATACCCTTTTTCATATACCTCTTTTTTAAAAACCCCATTTTCAAACTTTATCAAAAAAACCCACTAAAAATGTTGAAATTTATCCAATTGTGTGTGTAGGCTATACACAAGTTACCTTTATATGTGTATAAAACTTTATATACCTTTCATAAATAGCGTAAAAAATAAATTATAAAAACCTTATAAAAACCTTATAAAAACCGTATAAACCCTTTTAAAACCTTTTAAAAACCTTATAAAACTTATAAAAACGATTTAAAACTATTTAAAACATTTTAAAATATTTGTATCGAATCTCACAGTAGTAGTTATTATATAGAAGTACCTTATAAACTACATGAAACTTTATAATTTTTTATATTTAAAAAGGGTATTTTTGAAAATGGATAGATAAAGGGGGTATTTTTAAAAAGGGGTACACCAAAAGGGGTATTTCTCAAAAATTCTCAATAATTTTTTGTTTAATAATTATTGAAATTGCATAATACTAATACCAATTTTTAATTTTGATTATAAATGTCCTATATTATTATTAATGAAGAAGTAGTGAAATGAAGATTTTACCTGTAATGAAATATGAAATTAATGATATTTTAATTTTTAGCCTCATCAATTCAAACCCGTCCCGTCTTACAACATGTCTTGTATTACAACCCATCCCGTCATATAAACCGTCCATGTTAAACGTTTAATTAATTTAAAATATGAAAAATATTAATTTAAGTAATTTTTTACAACTTAAAAGTTCCAATATTGATAATATTTTGTATTTTTAAAAGTTTTCATAGGTAAATATTTTGAAATTTATTTTGAACTGGATTAAACCGAATAAAGCTTTCTATCTGATGTGAGACATTTACATATACTTAAAAAAAATCAATTAAGCACGTTAAAAAAAATTCAAATTGCAACATACGGTATGTGAAAAACTGTATTTTTATTATTTCATATGCTTAATTTAATAAATTTAATTTAAAACAAATAAAATATCATATAAAGATTAAAAGAAAGAATGAAACTGGAAAATGATATTAAATTTTTATTCCAGAGATTTTAGAAAAATGATAAATATTGTTTATAAATTATTTAAATATATAATTAAAGCCAATGACATGAATGGTAAATAGTTTCAAAGTACATGATTTATTTCAAAAAGTGTTGACAAAATGTTAATACAGATTACACAAACTATATGTATTCCACGCCCACATATATCAACTATATGTCAACATGTGTTCAACATCACAATCATTTTATTATTTCGGTCAAAAAAATATTTGCTTAGTTTTCTTTTTTAAAATATATAATATTATATTTAATCTCTTATGGTAGTATATAGTTAAAAAAAATCATTCTAATGCATTTATTTTTATAATTCGATATTTTCAATTTCAAAACTAATATTAAAGTGAAAATAAAATCATTAATTATGTTTTGAAATATAAAATTTAAAATTAACCAAAAATTTATTATCTTATTCAATCGGTTATAGTGTTAGATAATTAACAAAACACTTTCTAATAAATTGATTCTTATAATTAATTATTTTTCAAATATATAACTAAAATACATATTTTCCAAAAATACCACTAAAGTAAAACTAATTTTTTCACAATAGAAAATAATTTTACAATTTTAAACAATAAACACTTAGTACAAAAACTATACGTTCAATATAAATAGTCAGCCCAAACATAAACAAAAAATTCTACAGTTTCTAAAATCAATTATTATGTTTATTGTATATTTGGAAAAATAAAATTTTGAAATTTTTTAAATTTAAAAAAAAAACAAATGTTGGTATTTTTCGAAAATAACTAAAAATGTGGGTATTAAGTTATACTTTGTGTAGGTGGCTATTTTTTCCTAATAAAAAATAGAGGAAAATGTCAAAAAGGCTGAATTTTCAATTATAAGCAGAAAAGGCCTCAATTTCCAAAATCTCATTTTAATAGTTAAGTTATTGTTCATTTTGATATATGGTGTTAATTAAGGATTTAATTGCTAGTTTCTGTAATGGGTATAAAAACCCAAAAGACCTATTTTTCACTTTAGGCTTTCTCTTCCAGCAGTTTTCTGAGCAACTGCTATTTTTCATTTGTAAGCAACAATTTGGGGATTAGAGATTCATCATTTTCTAAACCCTATTCTCATTTTAATCTATCGAATCATGTTTTCTTTCATGTCTTTTTGTTTTGCTTCAATTACTATGTGTTAGTAGTTTCTCAATTGGGTTTTAGGGTTCTAAGTAGAATTCATTGAATTAGTGTCATTGAATTAGTGGATTGATAGTTTTAATGGATTCTTTATCTTATGGTTCCTAAATTTATATGTTCTCGATGCTATAATGGGATTGATCACCCTCTCTTAGAAGTTAGGCTTTTATATGTTTTAGAGATGTTCGATAAAATGCATGAATGAATGTAAATTGAGCATTGTATTTCTAACATGTGAGAGTTGATGTTAGAATGCCTTGTGAACCAAATGAACTTGTTTGATATTGCGAATTTGACTAGGAAATACAAATGAGAGTTTAGTAATTGAATAGTTGAATTTAGTGATTAATGTCTTGAGAGATAATTAATATAGATTTATGTTCATGTTCATGAACGGTTCTTTATGTCTGAATCATTGTTGCGTTTATTCACTAGTCATTGTTCTTTGAAATACTCTGCTACCAACGTATTTAAATCATAAATTTAATCTAAATTTATTTGCATTTTTATTTACAAGTCTGAAAACCAAACAAACAAATCCTTTTTCGCTTTCGCTTCGAATGAGTTTCGCAAGTCTTTAACCTTGCTCCTTGTGATTGATCCCGCATATACTGCCTTTCGGTTAAGTTATCGAGATAAATACTCGAGCAATCAAATTTCTTAAGAAAATGGTTAACTTTTTTTTACTTGGTTATTTGATGCACATCGTTAAATCGAGAGACGAATTACACTTAATGAGTTGATTCAAGAGCTTATGGCCAAAGAGAACATGGGGATGTCTATTGGAGCTGATGTCTATCAAGTCCAGCCCAGTTTAAGCCTAATTCAAGTCTAGGAAAGTCAAAGTAATTTATTTATTTTGTGGTCAAAGAGGGATGATGAAAATAGAGTACAAGAGTCATATTTCAAGAGTTATTTAACTCTGTTCTTTATTTCATCTTAGTCTTCCACAACATTAAATACTTGGCTTTGTTTCCAAATAATTTATTTTCCTTTATAAACTCATTTAAGAGAAGTGAAATAAACAACCAACTTTTTATATAACTTTGGAAGTGAATCCTCTTATGTTACTTGTGAACAAAACCGATTGCTTGGTGCGTATATCTAAACAGTCAAACTCGATCTTCTTAGTGCGTATTTGAGAGATCAAACTGGTATATCAAGAGCTTTTCTCCAACTCTTGTGCGACCACTCGTTCCATTATCCTTATTCTTGTAGCTTCATCGTTTTTAGAATCAATTTTTATCTATCAACTAACTCGTAGGTGCCAAATCCTTGGGAAATTCATATAACATGTATCTATTACAAATATTATTTGTTTATCAAATTTATAAAATGGCCACTTTGAACCTCTATCTTCAAATTCTTCAGATTCTTCAGTGATACACTGGTTAGTCAATATATTCTATACAAAATACTTGTTGACTTCATTAAGATATTGTTGGTGCTCTTTCAGTTGGTTGTGTTAAAAAAATGGATATTGGTTTTAACGTGAGAGATTCATACACTCGAAGAAGATATCTATCATTTTGATTGCCATACCAAATTCTTGCAATGTATCGCTTTCTCTCTTCCTCCTCAAAAACATCCTCAATCCATAATATATATTGTTTTAATCCTCGTGGTATTACTATTATCATCAATTTCTTTGTTTCTCGCTCAGATATACTAATATTAAGATATGATAAAATGGATGATTGGTAAGATCTTATTAGCTACTTGGAAGACTATAAACAAAACTTTTATTGCTTTTGTTGATGGCTGTTACGGTAGACTTTATCAATTCCATTGAGTTTTCTTCGTTTTCATTTGATCGGAATTAGCTAATTCCGCTACATAATATCTTATAATGTTTTTCATAAAACTGTATTGTATTTTTCATCTAACCTCTTCTAATATGTTTACAACAAGCCTATATGTGACCTTTAGATGCAAGAACAAATCACACATAGATGTTACAATCGACCACATGTTACTCTAATCAATTATTTTTGGAAAACGACCTATTTTCCGACGAGAACTATGGCATCGACCTATTTGGACATGACTACTGATTTCAGATCTTTGGGTTTAGGTGTTTAGTACCCAATAGAGTAAATCTAAAAGTTTTAGTTTGGATTAGGGTCAAATTTTTCAAAGGGGTTTTGG